TTTATCACCACCCTGGCGAAAGGCATCGTTTCGCAATTTTTATATCAAACATCTTTTATTAGCCCCCAAATTTAGTTGCAAATTGCGTGTGTATGTATAATACGGTAATGGTAAGAATTTCAAATACTGAAAAAGAGGTCAGGAGGGATGGGAAACAAATGTAAGGTGAAACTGGGCCAAGGCAAGGAGGAGAGGAAACGGATGCAGTTAGAGATTGTGTTAAACAAAATAATGCGGCAAAAATTCCAGTCTGCTTTTTTTTTTTTTTTAATTAGTCTTCCACATACAAATAACTGCTTGGTGATGTTTTATATTTAATTAGGCGTACAGAATTAAACTTACATGTAAAATCATGAAATATTTGTATTTTTTTCTGGTTTTTTTTCTTGTCCATGAAGATGACGCTTAGACTTTACTACCATATGTCTCAGCTGTTACCGACATAATGTGAGATGTATAAACTCATTACATGCATTACTTAACTGTATGAAAGGAGTTGGATTTTAAGGTTTACTTAAATACTGATTTATATTTCAGATATTGTTAAGATATCATGATTAAGATATCACTGGTAGTTTTAAATGTGTTCATTTATGACTTAGTGAGATTCTGTTAATCATTAGCATCCATGGCTTTCTGAACAGTAATTAGAGGAGTGTATATAAAGCACGGTATATCTGTGCTTCTGTAGATCATATTTATTCATAGAAGACATAAGTGATTGCAAAAGTAAACACAGTACAAGATTGCAGTTCAGTGAGTGAACAAATACCACTGTCCATGTATATCATATATGATGCTTTTTGATATTTTGCTACATAATCCACAAATACTTTTATACCAATTACTTCCTTTGTTTAAATATCCACTTTTTAAAATAACGCTTATCACATCATAATCTACAAAACTAATGTTTTTGTAAGTTTAACTTCAATATTAACTATTCTGGAAGATAACAAGAGGATAGTAGACAGCAAATGACATTTGTGCATATCGTTCATTAACTGTCTCTGGCTCCTTGTGCAAAACAACTGCATAATCAATCATAAACTGGCCGGTCTAGAGCACTGACAATTTTAATTACCAGTGGGAAAAGTAAAATCACCATTCTCTTAAAGAAAGCCTAGGCAATCAGATCTCTCTCCTGCATGGTTTTCAGTGAATGTATGAAAGTTCAGTCAAATATGAAAAATGAAATAATAAAAACTAGAAAGGACATAAAATAATTTTGACATGAATCTCTTGTAAAAAGCAAGTGTATTAAAAATTTTTAGTCTGGTATTTTTGTGTGTTTATAACATTTAGATTTCCATTCATATGAAAATTCAGGATTCTATACATCTAGCTGAGAAGCTGTTCTATGACATTGCATGGCTCTTCATCATGTGTAATACTAAAACAGTTGGTTTACCTGCTGTTACTTAAACCTCCTTATACACTTTATTCAATTAAGCTATTGTTAAAAGTTCTTCACACATGCTAAAGATTTGAAATGTAAATCATGCTGATTTCTGAATACATATAAATGCAATCTCTGATAGAAGGAGAGTTTGAAACAGTTGCAAATTTTGACGTTTTCGTTTTGTTTTGGTAAATAAGTAGCTGAATATATGTGCATTTTTTTCCCCAAAAGTGATGGTAATGCTTATAATGGTCTGGTGTCTTGACCCCTTATTAAAATTTAGGTGGAAATGGAATAAGAAATTAGTGCAGAGGAGAATGCTGCCTGTTACTGAGGCATTTAAATTTCAGAGCAGATATTTTTCTCTTACAGTCTAACTTACTTTTAAAAAGAAATGGAGGAAGATAAAATAACATCAGTAAAGGCTTGTGCTGTCAAAATTACTTTGGATTTCCCTTTAATGGTTTTCTGTTTCTGGGCTTAGGATGTAGGTTGTTAAGGATTTGTTAGAAAATAGTAAAGCTTTCTATGCATTGTTTCTATTATTATATTTATGCTATTGTGTAAAATGGTATTTTATGGGAGTTTTTGTTATGCAGGATTTTCTCTGTGAGCGAGAATGCCCTTAATTTCATCCTGGAGTTCACGAACTGGAAGAGACTGCCTCCAGCTGTAGAGCAAGACCTTTCGGACTACAAAGAGAAGTTCACTTGGACTCCCAAGAGCCATTTTGGTAAGCAATACAGTTAGGGGAAAAAAGTCTCTGTGTATGTCAGCTTCCAGGCTGTAAGTGGGAAGCAGCTCTGTGTGCGAATGCACGATGGCAAAGAAGGTTCAATAGTCGGTAGATGTTGCTTGTCCAGAAACTGGGGAGCAGAAATAGCAGTTACCCTAAACAAACAAGCAAGCAAAACATATTTGAATGAATTTTACTCATTACATTGTTCAATTCATAGTTAGCACGTTTCAAGTAGGTATTCTCAGTTATTCTCACTTCTGAAATTATTTCTTCAGCCTCTTGGAATATTTAAGGGAAGATGATCAACGTTACTTGGTTATGTTTTCTAGACAATATCCCACTGCTTTTATGTTTTTTAATTTGATTTGTATTTCCAATGAAGTGTCTATCCTGTTCTGTAAGCATTTGACAGTAACTAAAATACAAACCATATAAATCATCATAATAAATACCTACAAATCTAGCTGTTCGTTGTCACTCCTGTAATCAAAATGTGGTCAGCCAAAAAGATTCAATAATTGATTGCCCGGGAAAACACTAGTGCTCACTGCATTCACCCTTCAGAAAAGCAGCTTTAACATACAGGTCATGCACTGTGACCTATGCATTATGTTACTGAAAAACTGCGCTCAGATGTCTTTGTTAGTGACTCGTTTCAAAGCAAATTCTTCTTTAAAAGGGTCTGTAATAATTTTTAAAATGTCTAAGTGATAGTGTTATTAAATAATACTTCCTTTGGAATAGTTGAAGCTAATTAGAATATCTCTTTGGAGTAAAAAATAAAAAAGGTTTTATTTGGGGAAATTTAGATGAAGTTTGTTCTTTGTTTCCTTTGCTATTAGTAAATATATTTGTGTTGTAATAGCATCCAGTAACTAAAGCTGAAGAGAGAAAGCAGAGAGGAAAAAGGGGAGCGGGGGAGTTTTCACTTTTTCATTCTTTCAGCCAAGAGCAGTCAGGGCAAGCAGGCCAGCTGCTGTGCTGAGAGGCTGGCTTCCCCCCTTGAGAAATACCAAGCACTTGAACTGAGATAAGCTGGTCAAGTGAGCGAGCAAAGGAAACTAAAAGCGAAGGGTTCGTGCAGGAAAGTTCAAGAACTGGTGTTCACTCCTCCAGCTGAAGGCTTGCAAAACGTATGGTCCCGTGGAGTTACACACCTGCCATACTTACCCTTCTATACTGAAATACAGAAACAATTGCAGTTAATATTACAGATTCCGTGTGAATAAAATAAATGGAGAAGCCACTCTAGGACAGTTTGGAGGCACTAGAGTTCTGTATCAGCATAAGTTGGTCTATAATGTGAAAGATTGTGTTTGAGCGAATGCGCATTTACAGACATGTTTGTGTATCTCTTGGCACAGTGGTTGTCCTAAGTCAAGTTATTTAGCAACATGTTAGAACATTTGGCATCATATCATGCTATCATCTAATACTTATCCTAAAAGTGTTTTCCCTTGTGTTACTTTGTTGCTGGATTTACTTATAGACTTAATTTTTCATTTTTTGTAAGGTGGCATGAGCCTCTCTCGCCCCAAGCAGGTAGCTGTTCTAGGCCGGTTAGACGAAACTTTCTGATTAATGATAAAATGATTCTTTGTGACTTTGTTTCTAGAAGTTTAAGGTAACTTTTCTAGCTCCTATAGGGAAGTTCTGAAAATGCTGATTCTAGCAGACAACAGCCCTTCACTATCGAGAACTCTGCCTCGTTAGACTGGGGGGTTCAGATGGGATCCAGCTAAACCAGGTAACCATAGGCAAGTGATGTAATCCCATGGTGTCCTGTTCAGTGTTTGACTTGTTTTTCAATTTTTCAGCCTTCATTCCTTCCCTGTCTCATCTTTGTCGTCTTGAGATCCGGTCCATTTTAACGAGTGAACGCCTGCGATCGGACCGGTTTATCCGGGAATTGCCATTGCCAGCTTGTCTCCAGGACTACCTTCTCTACTTAGATGTACTGCGAGTCAACGCTATCCCAGAAGCAGAGGATTATCTGGGGCAGAGAGAGGAGGGAGCTCCCTCTACCAGTCACTCCAGCGCTGAAGATGCAGAGAGGAGGGACGCCTGTAACGCCGGTGTTAGGTGATCTGCGGCTGCAGATTTTGTAATGGCAACTAGCAGGCACCGGAGAAGAACTACTGTAAATAACTGTAGTAATAAGTCTTTTCCTGCTGTAGTTTTATACTATATCTAGAAGTTTGTTAGAAGTTCTATGAGTTACTTGTTTAAAAAGTCTGTTGTAGCTTTCTAAGTCTGTGAACATTTTCTGGTTTTTGAAAGGAAATTTTTAACTCTTGCGGAGTAAAATTAGCTTGTTCAATGAACATAGCTTATATAGTGGTCAAAATCTATTTGGTCAGACACTGTTAGTAGACGCTTTATTTTAAGTACTGCATATACCAAATGAAATTATCTGAAAGTCAAGGAACACAATGTTGTATTATTGTAATGAATTTATGTGTTGGGGAGTGATCTAGCTGAACCAGAGATAGAAAAATAATATAAGAAAGGAAATTTTTTTTCTGGAGGAACAGTGATTTTCTTTTTTTTTTTTTTTTTTTTCTTCTCCTTTCCTTGGCCGTCTATATTTGGCGGCACGTCGGAGTTGGAGGCTGGCTCGGAGCCTGCACCCAGTCCCCTCTCCTTGCGTAGCCCATGGGCAAGGCACGAAGTGTCCCCACAAGCACAGCGACACGACACCGCCTACAAACATCCCTCCTTCAATGAAGTGAAAAAGCAACCGCTGTCTCCGTGGGGGGGGTGACAAGGCCGGGGCAGGAACACCTTGGTGGAAGACAGCTGCATCCCTCGCACTGGGAAAGCCCTTGTCCTGCAGAGGCGAAGCTGGTGCTGCCGGGCTCACTGGTAGTAGATGCTGAAGGCGTGGAGGATGTACAGGAAGGTCGTGATGAAGGCGAAGAACTGCAGGAGAGGAAGAAAAGCAAAAACTGGGGTCAGCTGGGAGAGTCTAACCTTATCTCCTCTCAGTGCTCTTGACCTTGGGAAACCTCTCTCCAGCCTCAAAGAAGAGGCAAAGCCCCCCATATTTCCCAGGAGGCAGCCACGCAAGGCTGTCCATGAGCTGCTGGACCCTGAGAAGCCCATGCTGGCTGTACGACACAACAGAGATGAGGAGCTGAAGCTCTGACCAGTGTGACACTGCTGGGCTTGGGATGGTTCTGCTGTGGCTTTAAGATTTGCTCTTGCATCTCCCCAAGGGGAATTGTGGGTGTTCCGGCCTGCCTGGGGTTTCCTGGACTGACTCACCGATGCGGCACTGTTGAGCTGGTAGTAAAGCGGCGAGTTGGGGCCGAACTCAGAGCGGATGGTCGCGTTGGCTTGCAAGACAGCAGCGCTCATGTACAGAATGGCTGTGGCTCCGTGGTACAAACTGTCCTGCAAAACAAGGGAGCGGTGAGGATCAAAGCCTGCCCGGGACTGTCCTCCTCTGATTCGCCCTGAGGACGAGGTCCATCCTCTGCATGTGTGAGTGCTCAAACGGGACACGCATGCCCCGACAGGGGCTGGGACCAAACCCTCGTACCATGCCGAACCCTCCCCTGTGCCCATGCTGCACCCACAGCATAGCACAGCTTCCCTCAGCGTTTCCAATCAAGGCAAAAGGAGGAAAAAAGGGCTGGTTGTTTGCAGAAGGGCCAGCAGCTGGCCGGCTAACCCATCACCAGCCACGGTGGTCTTGCGCCCATGCTGCTGCTGCCAACATCTGCTGGTTTCCCAGCCCCTCCTTACCAGCACTTTCCAGTTCTCGCTGTTCTTGTGAAAGCCGAAGAGGTAGCTTATGAGGAGCAGCAAGGAGATGAGGCAGGAAGTGAGGGACACGTACATCACCCATCCCTGCAGCAGCGGGAAGGAGACAGAGGTAGCAGCAACGAGGATCCACACCCAGGTCCCGCAGAGCTGCCAGGGACAAACACAGGCACCTCTGATGAGCGTGGGATGGGGAAAGCCCCTTCTCCTCCCTGAGTCCCTCCTCGCCTCCCTCCCAGGCCGGCCCCAGCAGCCGTGGGAAGCCCTGTGTCTTTGGGCAGCGCGGACCGGCCTCCCGGAGCATCCCAGCACAACAGGAGCACCGCAAGCTGGCACGAGTTTCCCTGAACGCTCTTGGGAAATACTTCAAAAAGTTCCTTACAAAAGGGAAAGGTTTGCTGCTGTGTTTGACGCAAAGAAACATCTCACCCCGAGGGCTTTGGCGGAAAAGCCAGAAAATGTGCTTTATCCGGGAAAGGCGAACAGCCGCATCGGCCCAGCCCTGCCTGCTCGTTAATCTCCTGGGCCTGAAATCACGGCACGAAGTCTCCTACTGACTCCACACACCAGCCCAGAGTGAGTCGCTCGCTCTGTATCCACTTAAAATATTCACCGTGCACAAATAGCACGTGGGGTTATCTGGATAAGCTCACGCCGCCCTGTGCCGCTCCAGCTCCGGTGGATGAAACTCCCCCAGATCTGCAGCGGGGAGCTAAGCCCGTCGGCACGGGCAGCTCACAGCAAAGCCCAGCCACAGCGATTGCGCCCGTGGAGCGTGGGTGGTGTGCATCGCCAGCGCTATGTCGTGTCAAAGTACAGCGGTTATCTCGGCCAGTCCCACCAGATGCCCTCTGGACCCAGAAGCAATTGAAAGATTCATGGAGTGTCACACGTTACAGGACACCCAGCTGCCTTCAAGCCCTTGGAAAGACTTAATACAGAGAACGAAATTTCCTTGATTTTCAAGCAATTTCTGTGCGATAACTAGAGCTGCTTCTGCCCCGGAGGCGCCGGCAGCTCTTCAGCCTCTCCCAGCCCCATGGCAGCCAGCAACCCTCGCATAGGCTCTGGGATGGAGCTGGAGTGTATCTTGTCCTCAAGCTTGCTCCAAAAAAACCACATCACAAAGACCACCTTTGTGCATTCAGTATAAGCTAAAAGAAAAGACGTTATTTCCCGTTAATGCTATCTTCAGGATCGTTTTGGGGGCTGGTCCCTGATTTTTAGATTCGCTAGAGCCATTAGCAACGGGGTGCTGTAAGGCAGCAAAGCTCAGCATACTCACTATCTCTGGTAGGATGAACGCGTAGGGGACAGTTTTGAAGACGGCAGGTCCGGAGGGCAAGGCGGGCTGTGTGGAGGCCGCAGGGGGACACGCCGAGGCCATCTCTTCTCAGCTGGCGCCACGACCGCTCGGCTCCGCTCTGCTCACGTTTGCTTGCTCCGTGCCGCTCCCATGCAGGGTTTTAACTGACACACCCGCAGGGACGTAATCACAGAAACCAGCCCAGGCTGGCACCACGCCGCTTCCTCTGGCTGAAGGAGCCCTCGGCAGCCCTCCGGTTATTGCGGCTGGCTTCACACACCCTGCTGCCAACACTGGGACGGGAGAGCAACAGGACCCCGGCCCCGCCACCGGCACACAATCAATTCAAAGTCTTTAACGAGAGAGGAAATAAAAAAAATCCTACACCACGCCGGGGCAGAAACATTTCCTGCAGTCAATTTTTGTCCTTGGCATGCTTTCAAGCCTGAAATATTTTCATGTCCACTGTTGTTGCCTCCTCCCCTTTCTGTTCAGGTTTCTGCTCCGTGTTCATGTCAGACTCCCCCACACCCACCGGCACGTCCAGCCTTCAAAAACTTGCAGCCAAACGTTTTTTACAGACAACTCAACACACAGGTAGAAGACATGAGGGTTTGCCCGTGTGCTCCTAAGTGCCCAGGAAGGTCTGAAGGACAGCTGTTGGGACAGCTTTGATTTCTACCTCCTGGCAGATGCGCTTTGGATTCGACAAGCACATGCTTTTTTTTCCAGAGGACTGCCTCACGCCATAACTCACCGATAACTGGTGGGAGGAAAGGCTGAAGGTGGCACCTCTGCCTCATGGCCTAGTGAAGTCATTCTGTCCTCTTTAACTCAGGCAATACTCTGCAGCACGAAGAGAAGAGGATGATACCCTAGTAAGATATTGTATCTTTCTGTTAGGAGAGCCAAGTGATGCCCTAGGAGTTTGGCTTGTATGCCAAGCTCTTGCACAGTACAGAGCAAAGATCAAATCTGTGATGTTTCTTATTGTCCGAGCCCCTCCTAGGCCGGGAGGAAGTGCTTTGTGGCATTTCGGGAGGCTCCAGTTTACAAATGCTATCAGTGGGAGCTGGCTCTGGGCTCTGTGCATCACACCAGACAAAACTAGTGCCTGGCTCGGACTTAAATCCACATGTGACTCGGTGCCTGCCTACCTCGTTGGACACAGTGGCAACGTACCCATCACCATGCAGAAAGCATCCAGAGACTCCAGCGCAAAAGAGATATCGGATTAATAACTTCCCACTGGGAGCGGGCAGCACGTACGGCCTGTGGTTACAAACTGCTCAGGGAAGAGAAGCCTTTAACATCCTGGTCCACCTGAGGAATACCCCGCAGCTCATTATCCTGCCGTAGAAAGTCAGCACAGAGGGAGCTACCGTACGGCATGGCCATGCACGGGGGAAACACAGCGTGCCCTGAATTCTCACCAGCTTTTATTTGTATTAGGTGGGTCAAGCACATTCCTATGAATAACCCAACCTTTTCCTGAGTGGGAAAGAAAAACAGCAAAACAGTCTAAATACAGAGCAACCTGCTGTCCACTGATTGGACAAGAGATGATTTTTTTTCCTAACCTGGCTGACCTTGCTCAGCAGCATTCTTAAAGATCACTGCTATTTTCCTTGCCTGTTACCAGTCTACTGGGACAAAGAGTCTTTTGTTCACCCTGATTAAAACAAAACTGGGAATTAATTGGAAGCTGCATGAGAGGAGAAAAGTGCTGCCTCAGCATTTGCTCAGCTTAGGCAAAATACGACACTCGACGTGGCTACAACAGGTACATGTAGCAACAGACCACCAGAGCCTTGTCTAACATTGCAAAGGGGAAAATTTAAAATAAAATTTCCATTAGTTAAACTGATAAAATAATTTTAATCTCTAGTGTTAAACATGTTAAAATATTCATTACAATTCAGATAGTACACAGTTTCTCTTTGGTAAGAATTTATTTATATTGTTACCCCATTCTTATACAGCCTGAATTGTTCTTCTGTAACCCATTCATACTCCAGGATTGTTTTTCCTCGCTTCTCCTAAGAAATCGTAAGCCAGCTCTGAGATATCAAAGGCTTTGTGAGTGTTTTCTGACGACAGCAGATACTGAAGTGCACCATCATTCTCTCGGCTCTTTTTCAAAAAGTCAGCAATCGCCTTCCAGCGAGATGCTTCCGACTCTTCCTCAGCCCATTTGTAGTCAGGGAGGAAAGTGGACTGGAGGAGAGGGAAGACAGAGTCGTGGTACACCAGGACAAACAGAGACTTCAGAAATTCTCGATCTCTCTGCAGAGAAGAGTATTTGAAAATACTTCAGTGCAAATACAGGGTGTTGCCAAGTTCTTCTACAGAAGTATTGTACACAGGAAAAAAACAGACAAGAAAACATTCAACTAACGCCCAGTTCCCAGGATCACAACGGGAAGAGATTTGACCTCCCTAAACAAACATCAGTTAGCTCGGATGAGCCTCAAACTCACCACCAAGAACTACAATATATAAACTATAGATCAACAAATCTGCTCTCCAGCCCACCTACTTTTCCAAACGACAGAGAGTGGCAATACACAGCCAAACCCTGCCGTTGTTACTCCAAAACAGCAATCTGTACACCAGTCACTGAGAGCCCTTTGCTCATGGGGTATTTATATCTCTTCCTAAAAACACCAGTGTGTGACAGCTGTTCCCCGCAGCCTCTGCAGGTACAGACTGAGACTGCCGTGGCCGCCAGGGAAGTGCTGCATCCTCCCCGCCTTGGAAGCCCAAACTCCACTCGTTTCTCTGCTGCCCTAGGCGGAGAGTTGCAACAATCCCACGCTCCTTGCAGCACGTGGCTCTTAGCAGGAGGTAAGGCCACACCATAAGTACTGTTATTTCACACTTTGACAGGACGTTCTGTGTGTGGCGAGAATTACACCCTCCCCTGTAAAGACCAGTTTGCAAACCCCAGAGACTAAGAATCAGCCTGGCCCATTACCAAACACTGAAAGATCCCGACCACTTTAACTAGACAAAATTTGTGTGCCTCGTTTTCCACACGCACGCTAGAAAAACCCTTCATGCAAGATGAAAGATCCCGACCACTTTAACTAGACAAGATTTGTGTGCCTCGTTTTCCACACACACGCTAGAAAAACCCTTCATGCAAGCAGGACACACACAGAGCGCTGCCTCCTGTAAAACTCATTGGCCACCAAGACTCTTCCAGAAATGTTCCAGAAACACGCTGCCTCCTGTAAAACTCATTGGCCACCGAGACTCTTCCAGAAATGTTCCAGAAACGTTCCAGAAATGTGAGCGCTATGGCTGGCATTGAACAGTTCACGTCTCAGCAGGAGATTTAGCAGCTAAGCGTCATATAACCGTGCAAGAAGGAGTAAGAATTTGCCAAGCAGCAATCCTCCCACGGGAGTGGCACATGACAAATCAGGTAAAACTGGATGGTTCTGGGATACCGAGGAGTTACTAATTCTTTGAGCAGATCCGCTTTCATTTTGGATGAATGGCCTTGAAAAAGCGATTCTGACTTAACAGCATTTTGTTTTGTTTGCATAAGTGGGGAGATCTCCTTGTGTGTCTATTCAGTAGCATGCACAATGAATGAAATATCCTGCTGCTGCTCCCAAGTGAAGTGTCTTGGATGAAGAGCCAACACCTTTCTCATGCAGTTACCTAAGCTTCTCTTTGTCCAGAGGAGGTAGGACAAGGTACGGGTAAGCCTGGTGACACGGCCAATTCAGTTCTTCTCCAGCTATCTACCGGCCAAAATGGGAGATTGCAACTGTGAGGTAGGGAGATTTGCAGATTTGGGGGCTTTTTTCCAGGTAGACAGTGGGAGGACTGGAGCTCGGAGGTTGGAGGAGGGAAGATTATTTTGTGAGCATACACAGCCCCTTTTGTATCAGTGGGAAGCTTTTGCCAGTCAAGTATTGGAAGCACATCATGAAAGGGAGCCACACTTTGGATATGAACCTGTAATAGCTTCCCCAATAACAACCGTATACAAACACCGAGACAGAAAGTTACAAGTTAATGTCACATTCCTTCTTCTAGTTTACTGTTACAAATATCGGTAAGAAATGTTACGAACTGTGTTTAGTGTATCTACATTTTCTAAGTAAATGTACAGCGAGAGGAAAAATTAACTAGCAATAACACTGACAGAAAGCTGCTAGTTCGAATTAGATTGAATATATGTCAAAGAAAAACCTGTAATTTATTACCCTCTCAGATCTCTTCAACGTTCTTTCTCTATCTGCCCAAGCGCTCTAAAATGAAATGAAATGTAAAATCAGACTGAGATTGTGGAGATTTAAAGCAATTCCATTTTTAGCTGCAAAAATCTCTCTGGCTGCAATCCCACAGTAGTTTAAGCTCCTGTTGCAGTCCCACTTCCCTCACACTCCCCATTCCTCCCTTCTGCCAGTTGAGTTGATGTAGGCAAACGGCCATTCCACCAAATTTTACAGATGTGAGGATTTGGAGATTCAAAATTATCAGAGCCATATAAATGAAATCAAGGGGATCCACTTTTCAGAAAAATCAATCGCAACCGAGGTTGATTTTTTTCCCACCCTACAAGCATAGACAAATGCAGCCTAACCCCAAAGGCTAACAACTTCTAACAGCAGTGTCTTTTGGGCAGAAATAACTCGGCTGTTGTTGTCTGGTACTAGGACACCTGTGAGGGACTGCAGTGTAGATATGGTGAGCACTGTCCTGCTGGTCAGAAGCTAAGTCAGCTCCTACCTGTCATGAAAGCAGCACTGTCCTAGAAGCCAGATAAACACTCAGGCAGCTAATCCACCTGAGCACTCTCTTGCTGTGGCTGCACGGCTAGCAGTGTTCAAACTAGCCCGTTTATGTCTTTGCATCCCTTCTGCATGTACTCAAGCGTTCTCTTGCAGTTTTGAAGGCACTAAGACACAAGAGATTTGCACATACTTGAAACGATTATAACTTTTCTGCTGTTTGGCTTTTCCATTTATCTTTTCACAGGATAAAAAAGCTCAAATTTTGCGAACTATCTGGAAATCCTGGCACATCAGATGTAATTGAACACTATGTAGATAACATACCCGAAGTGCATCCATCAGGTCTGGTTGATC